AAAAAAAAAAAAAAAAAAAAAAAAAAAGGTTGGGATTGTAAGATCCTCCTAGAAGCTAGTGACTGTTCCCCAGGATCAGGTTTTGTTTGAAATGACCTCAAGGGTGACTGTTCTTCGCAATCCCCTTGAGCCTTATGGTGAGTCAGAGCACATTTGTCCCTGAATTTGGGAGCAGAACAAATTGTCTGGGGAAAACTTCTCGTGGTTGCTGCCTCTTCCCTTCTTTGCCTTTCTGTCCACTTTGACCAAGAGCCAGCGCTCCCTTGTGACTCTGCGGGGACACTCAGCCAGGCCTGCCCTCCCTGGAGAGGTGCTGGGGCTCCAGACCTTCCCAGTGCCCTCCCCTTGCCCAGCTCACCTGACCACCACAGCGATTCCTCTCAAGCACAACTCAGCGTTCAGCAGCCCTAATCAATAATTTATAGATAAGACATTAAAAAGTAATGAACACTTAAAGCACTGTCCCTCCCAGAAAATATTTGTGCAGTTCAACTGGAGCTTTCAAAGGCTCCGCTCCTAACCCCTTGTGAAAGCTTTCATAAGGACATCAGCCCGCGGTGACTGGGTCCTTCCTCCCTGAACTACCACTAACCCTACAGCATTTCAGTTGTAATTGTGCTTTAATTATTTCATGTGCTAGTCTCTTCTTTCCAGTGAGACTATAAATTTTTGAGGACTGTTTTTTTTTAAATACCAATAGTATCAGCATAATTTGAACTCTTAGTAAAATTTTTGCAATTGATTAATAATGGCCAGAGTTTCCTTAACCAGAAAAGCATCGCAGTGAATTGCATTGGTAAAACTGAGTTGTCCTAAACCCTTGCTTGATTCTAACAGCAGCTATTTTTAGGAATCTGAGTCTGTGTCCTTCCTCCTGAATAGCCACAGTAGAATGATTTTTCTTTTCAATGAGGATTTCACTTCAAGTGGTTTATCTTTAAGAGAATTCTTAGGACAGCTTTGTATAAATTTATACCCAAAGAGGGAGTTACAGTCCTGTAAGTATACTGTCCTCGACATGTCTAATTATTTCCGAGAAACCACTGGATAGCTTAGTTCCAGGAAGTCCAGGTTTAAAATAGGCCCCATTAAAGGAAGTGATGCATGATAGAATTGCATCTTCCTTATTGATTAGATATTTTTAAGATATGCCTTTTGCCCAAAAGCAAAGGGCAGACAATAAGAAAACCATACTCTAAAATCATTAAGGCAGAGGAAAAAAAGCAGGTAAAGAGAAAACAGATGTCGAAGCCAGCTAGGTTATTTCCGTTTGGAAAGAACTCTTCAGATGTTGGACTCTTCCAGAAAAAAGCAGCCAGTCTCTAGTTTCCTCTGGTATAAATTAAGGAAATGTTAATAACGCCCCACAAGGCGTTATCAACTGTCACAAGAATCTATGAAGATGGAGCTGTTCTCAAAGGTAACACTCAATGCATCGAGCACCTTTTTCCGAGGCAAAAACTTAAAACAGTGCCCTTTAAAAGGCAGTTTATGCACTCAGGAGGGTCAAAGGAAGACCTCTTTAAAACCAGCGGGCCTGGCTTTCCTCTCAGGGCTGTTTGTAGACCCAGTTGCGCTCTGCCACACTGTGGGGTGAAAGCTAGGGGAGGAAGGCTCTGAGTCACCGAGGGAAAGTCAAGGACCTCCGGTCTCAGGTGGAGACAGACAGGGAGGGAAGTGACGCAGCCCCGGATGCCTTGGTCCCCTCGGCCTAAGGATGTGAGAATAGGGCAGACAGGTGGCCGCTGTGGTCTCTCATTCTGACCCCAAGCACCGCTGCAGGACTGCGCGTTCTGTCTGCAGTTCCTGGGAGCCCTGGCAGTTGAAAAGTCAGCGCAAGTCCTCCCGGGGCAACTGTCACCAGCTGAAGAGGGCCGCCTCGCCTAAGCAGAGGTGCCTTTGTAGGCTGATAGTGGGAGAGGGGACCCGACACCGCCGCCTTGCCTCAGTGTGTGCTCCGAAGGGCTGTGCTGGCTCTCTTGCTTCCTGGGTGATGACGTGGAGGCTTTGCTCATGGCTGAGGCCGGTCCAAATCCCCCTTTCTCCAGCCCAACTCCTTCCCCGGTCTTGGGCACTCTCCAGGAGCGCTCTCCGCAAGCTTCCTCACACAAAACTCCATCTCAGAGACTCGGGCTCCCAGACTTTGGCAGTGTTTTTCACAGTCTGAACTAGAATTGAAAATCTTCACATTATAGAAATGTGGAGCCTTATAATGTGAGAGGCAAGGTGAGATGGCTCCGCAGAGAAGGAACTGAGAGCCGGGGAGTCGGAGGGCTGGCGCCCAACAGTAGCCCTTGTGACATGGGCGGGTCCGGACTCTCCACACGCTCTCCGGGTCTCCACGAGGAGGGGCAGGTGACTGGGGTCAGCAGGAAGGGACTGGCTCCCTTCGGAGAAGGGATGAACCAGCGAAGGCCTCTTCGTCCCTGCAAATGGGCCTAGCCTCGTGCTGAGAGGGGCAGCAAGGAGGCGACTCGAGCTGCCAGGCTTCCTCCAGTTTCTCCTTTTGATGTTATGAAACAGATAATAAATGTCACAGAGAGGAATGAGGCGCTAAAGAACCCTCCCCGCTTCCGTAGCTCAGCTGGCCCCGACAATAACCATCTTGGCAAGGAGGGTTGCGCTGGAGAACAGCCGCGCGGCCGTCCGCGCTCAGGCGGTCTGCAGATGAGCGTGTGGAGCATTCGGAGGTTCCACTCGGACTGCTCAGCGCCAGCCTTGCAAAGTGCTTCCTGGGCACCGATTCATTTCCCCAGACGTCACTCACCACGTTCCTGCCTCCTGTAGTGAATTGATCTGAATCCTCCCAGGCTCAGAGTATACCTGTGATGCAGGATTTCTTTGCTTTAGGGAGAATCCCTCCTTCCCTGCTCTTAACACAGGGTTTGTGAATGGAATTCACTCCCGACCCCTTACCCTCAGCTGAAAGGGAGGATGCGGGTCCTGAATGATCCTAAACCATTCAGTCCCGTCCGTGTTGCTATGGTGACCATTTCAGAGCTCACCTTATTTCTAAGCCCATGCAGTCAGCTGCTGACCCCGCCCTCACTCAGCGAGGAGCTCCAGGTGGGAATGAGACCTGCATCGCGTCAGGCGGGACATGTGGTGGCTGCCCTGAAAGCTTCCCTCTCCATGCAAGGAAGTGGAGAGAGGAAGCTGGGCTTGGTCATCCATCTGCTCGTCTTGTCCAAAAGGAACTGCAGTGCATGGGAAGGCAGAGTGGAGACGGATGAGAGACTATTCCGGAGCCTGATGAAACAGCGGTTGCATACTCTCTCACGATGCCCTGCGCTGTCTTCGTTTCTCGGTATCCTCTGAGTTGGTTTTTCTGTTTCTTGCTGCCCAATGCATGCACTCAATACGCCTCCCAAAGGAGCCAACACCTCTGGCTGGGCTCCTCTACCACACAGGCTTGGGCAGAGCCCAGCCAGGGAAGAGCAGTTCCAGACAGAAGATGAAACATTTCCCAGGAGGAAGTTGAAAGACTCGCTCAAAGATGCACCCGGACGTGGATTTTATGTAGCAGTTTCTGCTCAGCTCATCCTGTTCTTGAGGCCTCGGTTTGTGGATCAGGTGTGTGCCTGAGCGTTTCTGAATCAGCTCATGGTACCCTCAAGGGCAAAAGCAGTGCGGTGTGTGTAGGACTTGAATAAGTGTCTTGCATTCTGTAGATGCTTAGCAGTCAGAGTTAAACACAAGTAAGTTAACCTCCTATCACGGCCATCAGCGCTTCTAAGTTGGGAAGAAAGGACATTCTCCAAGCTGCTCTTCAACATTTAACTTTCATCTTTCTCTCTCATGTACTTCTGCTACAAACTAATACTCAAGCATAGAAGGAGACTACAGAGGTTGGAGCGGAGGGGAAGTGGGGTCCAGAGTCTCAGTGAGAGTTAGGGTTTGGGAGCTCCGTTGCACGGCAGGAATAGTGCAGCTGACACTGAAGACTGCATATTTCAAACTGCTCCGAGTGAGCTTCACAAATTGTCATCACGGAAGTTAGCAAGCATTTGAGGTGGTGCATGGGTTCATTAACTTGATTCAATCATTCCACATTGTGTGCATAAGTTGCAGCATCATGATTTGTCCATAAACATGTAAAATTATAAATTTTCAATATATAATCGAAAAAGGACAAAAACAAACTCATTTTCAGTCAACAACTTTGGATCAAAGGTGACCCAGAAAGGAATGGATCGCCTGTATATTTCCACCAGTAAACTCTTGTGTCTTCCTCTATCTGAGCTCCTTTATTCACTCATGCAATAGGTTTTTATTGGACGTTTGCTTCAGCCAGGCCCTGGGTATATACAGGGTTAAAAAGACAGATAAATGACCTTCCTTTGTGACGACTAGTAAGTAGGGGGAACGTGCATCAATAATTAAACCACACGAACAGACTGTCCTTTCAGGTAGTGATTCTGTGCTGGGAGGGGAGTACCTGGGGATAAAGGAGTAGGCAGGGACAGGTTTGGTGTCACGTGGGGCAGTCGCGAAAGCCGTGTTAGGACGCAGCAGAAGAAAGACCAGACCTTGGCGTGCAACAAGTGCGGCTTGCTCCAGGAAGAGCCGAGGTGAGCGGGCGCATCTGAGAGCAGCAGAGCAGAGGGGCCCCGGCCCGGATGGTGCAGGGGCTGCGCCCAGGACCCGTGACCATCCCGCGCTCTCGCTGGCAGGAAGACCGCAGCTCCTCCCCACCCCAAGACCTCTCCTCTGCTCCTGTCTGTGCCACCATCTCCTTTCTTCCCAGCCTCAACGTTATCTTGTTTGCCTACCATTCCTTTTCCACCGAAACTTTGAAGTCAGAGAGGAGCAGAGCTCACTCCTTGGACGTCTTCTCTCCCTGCCTCTCCCCTCTTTTCGTCTCTCCTCTCCTCCCCTCTCACCCTTTCCCTCCTAACCCTGGTCTTTCTCCCCCTCTTCTCCTCCCTCCTCTCTTCTCTGCTGCTCTGTCTCTCTCTCTCCCTCTGATTCCGTCTAAAATGAAACACTGAGTCTCACAGCTCTGAGCACCATCAGTGCAGTGGAGAGGAACGGCCTAGACCTCTTTTAGTCTCAGGCTCAGACGCTACTGTATTTAACTTCTTACTTTACATTTCTGTTTTGATGACAAAATGAACACCTCAAAATTAATCTTATTCCAAATTTATACTTCTTTAATCTTCCTCTTTCTTGTCAATGGCACCATTCAGATGCTTAAGCCAGGACCTAAGTATAATCCCCCCGACATATTGATGCCCGAACCCAGGGCTTTCACATTGTGCAACATCGCCAGCCCTTTCCTCAGTTTTTCATTCTAGAGACAGGGTCTCACTAAATCACTGAATTGCCCATACTGGGCTCAGATTCGTGATCCTGCCTCAGCCCCTCTGATTGCTGGGACTACAGGTGTGTGTGTCACCCCTCCTGGCTCCTACCATTCTGCGTGCATTCTTTAGCTTATTTCCCTCATCCGTTTTGTCACTGAGCTTTGTGGTCCGACCTCCAAAATCTCCAGTTTCACCCTATTATTTATTGGTCATTTATACTTTTGAGAAGTGTCTGTTCATTTCATTTGCCCATTTTTTGATTGGGTGTTTTATTTTGGGGAGATCTAATTTTTCTGAGTGTATATATATATATATA